GGGTGGGGGTGGGGGTGGGGGGAAGTGGCGCCCCTTGAGTTTCCAGATTTATACTCGTGTGTGTGTGTGTGTGTGTGTGAGTGTGTGGGTTTTTAAGTGAAAATGATAAGTGAAGGTGGTGTAGATGTTTTCCAATGTGCCTTCACTGGCCAACATTCCCAAACAGGAAATTTTGTCTGTGTTTTTTTTTTTTTTCCTTCACTGTTGTGGATTCAGCGCCTACAATCTCTCCTGGAAAAACAATAGGTACTTGATAAATACTATAGAATGAACCGATGTCTTCTCTGTACTGAATGGGGAGGCTTTTAACATACACATAGGAAGACATGATGTTGTCACAGTATCTACTGTATAACTTATGAGTCTAGTGGGTTTCCAGTGATGATGGTTTTGCACTTATTGATTAAAGCAGAAAGGGGGGCTCAAAATCAGCTAGCAAACCTGAAATGTGGAACTAGAACAAGCAACCTAGCCTCCTTTGCTTTATAAACTGTCTACAGTGTGATCACGTCTTAGACCGTTTGTGATGCTTTAACAAAATACCTGAGACGAGGTGTTTATAAACTGGGTATTTTCATACTGTTCTGGAGGTTGGGAAGTCCAGAATCAAGGTGTTGGCGATTTGGAGTCTGATGAGGGTCAGACACTGTTCCATAGATGGAATTTTCTCATGGTATCCTTGCATGGCAGAAGGAGCAGAAGGCCAAAAAGGGCCTAGCCAGTTCCCTCAAGCCCTTTTATAGGGGCACTCACTCATCCACTCATGAGGGCTCTACCCTCATAACCTACTCACCTAAAGACTAGTTCTTAATAGCAGTATTCCGTTGGTGATTAATAGTAGTATTCCGTTGGTGATTTGAATTTTGGAGATATGCATACATTCAAACCATAGCAGTTCATATAGCACACCACCACATGCACACACCCCATAGTACTTCTATGAAATGTAGATACAGGCATTTTATAGCAGTTTATAAAAATATATTGCCAGCCAGGCTCGGTGGCTCACCTGTAATCCCGCGCCTTTGGGAGGCTGAGGTGAGTGGATTGCCTAAGCCCGCGGGTTCAATACCCGCCTGGGCAGCGAGACCTCATCTCTAATCAAAAAATCAGCCGGGCGTGGTAGCGCATGCCTGTAATTCTGGCTAGTTGGAAGGCTGAAGCGGAAGGATCACTGGAGCCCAGCAGGCGAGGCTGCGGTGGCCGGGAGTGGCCACTGCACTCCAGTCTGGGCAACAGAGTGAGACTCCAACTCTAAAAAAAAAAAAAAAAATATTGCCAGATATGAGCTCAGTTAACTGTGTGTTCAGCACTGGGCTAGATGCTGTGAGGCATAGGAAGGAAACAAAAGACTCGTGTACCAGAAAAGAAAGATTAAGGAATCTCCTAGCCATATAAACTAGTCTGTGGTAAGTGAATGAAATTGAGATTTTGAGAGGGGATTTGTCCCCAGGGGGTGTAATTGGCACTGTTTCCCCAAATACAGGACAGCACCACCTCATATGAACCTTTGTGTTATCTTTAATTATGGTTCTGCTTACTGTAAACTTTGTTTTTCAAAATTCTTGCCTGAAGATTGGGAAGATATTGATTCTGATGAAGAATTGGAATGTGAGGATACTGAAGCAATGGATGATGTGGAAGAGCAGGATTCAGAGAAGGAGGCTGAAGAAAGCCCACCCCTTGGTGCCATCCCTATAACAGACTGCTTATTTTGTCCCCATCATTCAAGCTCACTCATGAAGAATGTGGCTCATATGACCAAAGTCCACAGCTTCTTTATTCCTGATATAGAGTATCTTTCAGATCTTAAGGGACTGATTAAATACTTGGGTAAGTACTGTACAGTAGGTTTCTTTTTAATGAGGAACTATCACATCATTGACTGATCTCAAGGGAACGTTAGTTTTGTTTTTCTCATCAATCTTCCTTTAATTACTTGCTCATTTTGTGAAAACTGAAAGTTTGGTGAATATTTTTTCAATTGTGGTGATAAATGGTAAAATTTAATGTGACTACAAAAAATTATTTCATCAAATTGTTTTTCCAGGAGAAAAAGTTGGTGTTGGGAAAATTTGCCTGTGGTGCAACGAAAAAGGGAAATCATTTTACTCCACAGAAGCTGTGCAGGCTCATATGAGTGACAAAAGCCATTGTAAGCTCTTCACAGATGGTGATGCTGCTTTGGAATTTGCAGACTTCTATGATTTTACGTAAGTGTGGTTTGTAATGTGGAGTTAGGTCATCATACTTTCATTGAAGTGATATTAGATGTTGTCAGTGACAGATATATGTCTGGCACTATACAATGTATTTTAATTAACCATTACAGCACCTCTGTATCAGGTGGTTATTTCATAGGTACTTACACATCTAGTAAAGAGAAGATCTCAGACCCAAATTAAAGTTTATTTGGCTTGTTTATTATTTACTTTTTGTGGTTAAATAGTCAGGAGTTCAGTTTTGCCAGTTACCTCATGAACAAAGATATAGAAATTAGGTTTCATCTTTTGAAACCTATGAATCCTGAGAATCTTGAAACTGGAGAGGCCTTGAATTGCTAGCAGTCTCCTTAGGGAATTGAGATGGTTGCTAAATTAGGCCAAACCCAGCATTTGATGGTGAGATTATTCTTAACCAGAATCTGGAATAATTTGTACATCACTTAACAAATGTATGTTAAGTGCTTGTAAACGGCTAGTTCCTGTTGTCAAAATGACTTATGGCCCTTTGACCTACCTCAGGAGCTAAGAGCTGTGTAATGACCAGACCAGGTGTGCAGAGTCCAAGATAAACAGGTGTTCAGAAATTCTTTTTTAAGTCTTCCTTTTGTATTTTTCCTGATTTCTCATTTTGCAGCTGGAGACTTACAGGTGGTGGACATAACTGGGAAGGGGGAGGGGAGAGTTAGAGGTGTTGATGATTGTTTGCTGGAGGTGGAAAGCATCCTCTTCCAGGCAAGTGATAGTATTTATTCTTCTCAAGTTTCCTTTCAGACTGCAGTGTGCATGCCCTTTTGACTGATGTTGTAATTAGAATGGTCAAAGCAGATACTACAGGTTGAGTCAAGTGGCTGCAGCGAACAGCTGTTGTGGAATACTGCAGCACGCGGTCTCTTGCCTTTGGTTCTATTCAGGATTCTACCCTGTCCGAGATTTCAGTACTTCCGATAGGCCTATGATTCCCACATTTATTTCTCTAGTATAAAGTCTCAGCTCCAGCTGCCTCCTTGATATTTCCACTTAAGTGCCCAAAAAGGACATTAACATGTCCAAAAACTTCTGTGCATCCTAACCTGCTCCTAAGTAGATGGCATTTCTGTTGTTCCAGTTACATAGGCCAAAGCCATGCAGGTATCCTTTATTCTTCTATTTTCTTTCATACTTAAACAATAGAATCCATCACCAAATTCTGTTTTGTCTACCTTCACATTATCTTCAGTTTCTGACTGCTTCCCACACTTCCACTGCTACTACACCGATCCAGGTCATCTTCATCCTCTTTCACCTGACTTCCTAAGTGGTCCCTGCCTGCCTGGTCTACATTCTTACTGCCCCATACATTCTGCTCTGAAAACCGTAGCCAGAGGGATCCTTTTAAAACATTAAGCCAGATCAAACTCTGTCTTACTCAAAGTAAAAGCCAAGGTATAACAGCCGACAAGGCTTTTACATGGTCTGGCCCCAGCTATGGTCCTGGTGTTTTCTATTTCTTGCTTTTTGGATTCCTAAGTATTCCTCTAATTCATAAAGTGTGTTTCTCAGGTCCTTTGCATTTGTTATTGTCTTTGCCTATAATCTTGCTCAAATATTCACCACTCGCCCCCTCATTTCCTGCAGGCGTTGACATAAATTTCACCTTCTCGATGTGGCCTTTTTTGACCACCTTTCATAAAATAGCAACACCTACCCAGTCCTTTTTGTTCTGTTTTATGTTTATAGCAGCCTTACTACCATTTTACATGTTATATATTACTTGTTTTCTCCTTCTAGAATCGAAGCTTCAAACGGATAGGACCTTTTGTTATTGCTTGCTGGGTGTCGTTCAAACTACTAAGGTTTGAATTAAAATATGTAATTGATGTGAATGGTTCAAGTAGTGAATTTCCTTTAGTGCAAATGATGCATTTTTGGACACCATTTACAGAATTTTATGCTATTGGTGCCTAGAAATGAGAAGTTGTGTGAGCCTTTCTAAAAATGAATGTTAAATGATTTATTTCCCAAAAAAACAAAAGTTAGCCGGATATGGTGGCATTAGCCTCTAGTCCCCGCTACTCAGGAGACTGAAGTGAGCGGATTACTTGAGGACAAGAGTTTGAGGCCAACCTGGGATACGTAGTGAGACATTGTCTCTTAAAAAAGTAAGTTTTTTTTTTCTTTTTTTTTAAATTTTAGATTCAGGGAGTACACATGGCATGTTTGTTTCATGGACATACTGTATGGTGGTGGGGATTGGGTCTCAGGTGGCCTGTTTCCCAGATAGTGAATATTGTGCCTGGTAGGTAGTTTCTGATCCCTACTCCCCCTTTCCCCTCCCTCCTTATTGGTGTCCCTAGTGTCTATTATTTCCATCTTTGTGTCCATTTAGCTCCTATATGAGTAAGAACATGCGTTATTTGGTTTTCTGTTTCTGAGTTTACTTAAAATGATGGTCTCCAGCTTTATCAGTGTTGCTTCAAAGAACATAATTTCATTCTTTATGGCTTGAATAGTATTCCATGATATGTATATACCAGACTTTCATTATCCACTGATTGATTGACGGGCATTTAGATTGATTCCACATCCTTGTGACTGTGAATGGTGTGTGGTGATGAACATATAGGTGCAGTTGCCTTTTTTTATATAACGACATCTGTTCCTTAGGGGAGATACCTGGTGGTAGGATTGCCGGATCAAATGGGAGATCTGTTTTTAGTTCTTTAAAAAAAAAAGTTGAGAATGCTTAATACAGAAAACATGGAAAATAGGGAGGCTTCACGTTAAAACCAGCACTTGAGTGCTTACCACCAGCCAGGCACTATTTTAATAAGCATTTTATGTGGATTCACTCAGCTGAAAAATGACAAATTATGTATAATTCTACTTCCCTTCCCAAGATAACTAGTGTTAACTTATTTTGGACTAGAAACGTTTTATTGAAGAATAAACTTACAGAAAAGTGTTGATATGTTTATAGTCAGCCCTCTGTATTTGTGGGTTCCGCATCTGTAGATCCAACCAACTGTGGATCAAAACTAAGGTATTGGGAAAAATTGTGTCTCTAGTAACCATGCAAAAACTTGGCTTTCTTGTCATTATTTCCTAAACAGTATAGTATAACAACTTTTTTTTTTTTTTTTTTGAGTTGGAGTCTAGGCTCAAGTGTAGTGGCCCAATCACAGATCACCACGGCCTCAACCTTGGGACTAAAGCAATCCCAAGTAGCTGGAACTACAGGCTTGAGCCACCCCACCCCGCCTATAACAACTAAATAAACATTTACATTGTATTAGGTATTAGAAGTAACCTAGAGATGGTTTAAAAGGTATGGGAGAATGTGCACAGGTTATACCAAATATGCCATTTTATATCAAGGACTTGAGCATCCTCAGATTTTTAGTATCCAGGGGAGGTCCTGGAACCAATTTCCCACAGATACTAGGAACAACTATACTTATGATATAGTAATTCAGTCCAGTGCAATTGTAAATAAAACTAGCACCCAGATCAAGAAACAGCATTAACCTTTTGCACTTGGATGTCCCCTATGAGGGACATTGTAAATCTAGCAAACGACTTGGATATCAGGGGACTCGGGACATAAAGAGATTGTAAAGTGTATGTTTCCTTGAAGTTTTCCATTCAAATTGCATGAAAAAAGCAAATAAAAAGATGGAATATATATTGGTATATGATTGATCAGTTAAGTGATTTTCGGGAATCATGAGTGCATCCTTCCACATCTTTGAACAACAGACTGGACAATAAGTTACATATTATTAATGTGGGATAAGGAAAATAAGACTGATTGTCTGCTTTAATAGAAAAACACCGGGTGGGCCGGGCTTGGTGACTCATGCCTGTAATCTTAGCACTTGGGAGGTGAAGGCGAGAGAATTGCCTAAGCCCAGGGTTTCGAGGCCAGCCTGGACAACATGGTGAGACCTTTTCTCTACAATAAATACAAAAAATTTGCTGGCCACGGTGGTACATGTTTGTTGTCCCACCTACTTGGGAGACTGAGGCAGAAGGATCTACTGAGCCTGGTAGGTTGAGGGTGCAGTGGCCATGAGTGTGCCACTACACTCCAGCCTGGGTGACAGAGTAAGACTCTGACTCAAAAAAAAGAAGAAAAACACCAGGTGGAAGATGTCAAACAGATTACTATTGCACATGTATCAATGAACCTGCAATACATGTCGGTGACTTTCACATTTAACACGTTAGAAAAATATATAAAATTTTGATTTTTTTTTATCATAAGGAAGTTCCTCAATTCCTTTGAAAGCCAAATGTCATTGCAATAAAATAATTAGTTTCAAAACTATACTGTTTAATATTAAACGATTTATTTTTCATTATTTCATAAAACAGTGTGGCTAGTTAGGTGATCTGCAAGATGACTTCAAGTTTAGAAGGTTAATAATGCCCTGATGTTTTCCCTTGTGCATTTTTCCAGGAACTACCCTGCTCCTGTCTCCTAGATTAACTACTAGCCTGACTTATTACTGCATAGATTTGTTTTGCATATTTTGTACTTTATGTAAATGGAATCGCAAAGAATGTTGGGTCTGGCTTCTTTTGCTCAGCTTTACATTTGGGAGAGTCATCTGTACTATGCTATGTGGTTGTAAATCATTCATTCTCATTGTTATAGAGTGTTCTCTTGAGTACACCACAGTATCTGGTCTGCTGTTGCTGCATATTTGAGTGGTTTCCCTATTGGGGCTATTAAAATAATGCTGGCTACATCATTTTAGTATGTGTCTTTTGGCAAACATGTATACATTATCTGCTGTGTATATATATAGGAGTTGGGCTAGAAGATATACATATGTTAAATTTTAGAAAATATTGTCAAATTGTTTTCCAGAGTGGTTCTCTATACTCCCACTTGTAGTGAAGGGAGCGTTTTTCATCTTAGCAATTTTGGAGAGTGTGTAGAGGTTTTAATTTGCATCTCCCTGATAATGACTAATGAAATCAAGAGCCTTTTTAATGTTGATTGGCCATTTGGGTATCTTTGTGAAGTGTCTGACCAAGTCTTGTCCATTTCGCTATTGTGTTGTCTGGCTTGCTGTGAATATTTTAATGTGTATTTCTCCAATTATTTTTCATGTGTATGTGTGGATATGAATTTGTGAACATTTCTGGGGACATAGAAAGCTCTTCTAGAATTGTACTGTCTAATATGATAATTACTGGGTATACTTAGTGGCTATTTATTTATTTATTTATTTTTTGAGTTGGAGTCTCACTCTGTCGCCCAGACTGGAGTGCAGTGGCCGCTCCCAGCCACCGCAGCCTCGACCTGCTGGGCTCCAGCGATCCTTCTGCCTCAGCCTTCCCAGTAGCCGGAATTACAGGCACGCGCTACCATGCCCGGCTGATTTTTTGATTTATTGTAGAGATGAGGTCTCGCCTGCCCAGGCGGGTCTCGAACCCGCAGGCTCAGACAGTCCATTCACCTCAGCCTCCCAAAGGCGCGGGATTACAGGCTAAGCCACCGCGCCCGGCTCTTAGTGGCTATTTATATGAATTAAATTTTTTTTTTTTTTTTTTTTTGAGTTGGAGTCTCACTGTCACCAGGAGCTGCCACTGCAGCCTCGACCCGCCGGGCTCCAGCGATCCTTCCGCCTCAGCCTTCCAAGTAGCTGGAACTACAGACACACGCTACCATGCTTGGCTAATTTTTTGTGATTTATTGTAGAGATGAGGTCTCACCAAGTTGATCAGGCGGGTCTCGAACCCGCGGGCTCAGGCAGTTCACTCACTTCGGCCTCTCAAAGCGCTGGGATTACAGGCTGAGCCACCAAACCTGGCAAAATTTTAATTAAAAATTTAAAAAATCAGTTCTTCAGTGATTAACTGTCTCCATTTCAAAGTTCAGTGCTTGAAAGCCCATGTGACTGGATTTACCATATAGAGCACATAGGTGTAGAACATTTCTGTCATCACAGAGTTCTACTGGACAGCACTGTTTTAGAACTTGTTTTCATAATGGTTAGGTTGAATATAGACGCATGACCAACTCTTTGTTCTCCTCCTCTTCCTCTCCATTTGGCAACCTGCCTAGGGGGAAACACATAGAAAGAATTCTGTTATTGGTCATTTGTTCACAGAGAAAATGCTAACAAATTGTTTTGTCCCCAAATCTTTTCAGGTGGCAGTTCCTACAGCTGTCCCCCCTCCCCTTTTAGGTAGTTAACAGGTTTGCTATCTTTGCAAATATAGTGTATGTCTTTTAGTTCAGTTTTAGGTATTAGTCTATTAATTAGTGCCATTTCACGATTACAGGAGTAGCTACTCAGATCACAAGGAAGGGGAGGACTCCAACGGGTTGCCCTCAGAAGAGAGAGTGGAATATGACGATGAAACCATGGAACTGATTCTCCCTTCTGGTAAGTGCATTTGTCAAAAATAGCTTAATGCCAGCAGGATCAGGGGAGAGGCTTATTCGTATCAATTACCTTCCATACTGAAGGAGTAGTACATAAGACAACATGTATATTTGTGTTCTTGTGTATGTGGTAAGCTCTGAAGGTTGCTGCTTATTTCTAAGTTGACTTTTGTGTTTAAATTAGATCAGTGTATTTGCTCACTTCTGTTATAGCTCAGAATATTTTGATACAGGCATATCTTTTTTCTAATATGTAGACCTTTTCTATTTTGTTCTTTATCTGTTTTTTTTTTTGGTCCTATCTAGGTTTTTCTTGTTAATCTTGACCTTACTCTCATTTTTTGAACTGATTCCTGTTTCCTTATGTGGCTCTGACTTCCAGCTTGTAGTCTGGCATGGGCGTATCTGACTCATGATGGAAATTTATCCTAGGTGTGAAAAGATGAAGAATAACCATGAATATGAGAAGCATTCACTATTGTTTATTGTGTGGGAATAAATAATTGTTGCTATTAACTGATAAGAATAGGGGAAGCTACAGAAGATACGTTTGAGCAGTGAAAGGGAATGAGATCCTCATAATGCCTGGTATTTACTGAACATTTGGCACATTCAGATGTATTATTTGATGTTTACAAGCCTGTGTGAGTTAGATTTAACATCTTCATTTTACATGTGAAACTTAAAGAAGCTGCATAACCAAGATCACAACACCTAGTCAGTGAATCCTTTTTCCCACTTCCCTGTACTGCACTGGGAGATTTGCAGAGGTGGTGGGAGCAGGAACCTGGCTGGTGGAGATGTCTGCACTGAAGCAGCCTTGTGGCATGCCTTTCCTCATAGACTATTAGTGCTTAGGTACAGCCAGCATTTTTAACGCAGATCCATAACCTTTTAAGGCCAAGGAGCAGCTTTGGAGTATGGCAGTAAAAGGAAAGGGCAGGCAGAAACTGTTTTCAAGATGCAGTTATTCCTGCGGTGATAAGAAAGTTATAATGCAGTATAATATTATGGCCTATAATCACAGAAAACCTTTTCTAGTCTGCCTCATGTGAAAGTACCAGTTTAGAACATCAGGAATATGTTTAATAACTTATTTTCCAGGACTATTTATTAAGCCTGTTGTCTTACTAGCTTCCACTTCTTAATTCTAGCATAAGATAACAACAGACCTTAGATAAATTTAGTAAGATAATCCTTGTAAAGCAGTGTCTGAAGTGAAGTAGGATTGCTATAATGTTTGCTTCATTTGCATCTACTTTAGCATGTTATATTACAAACATTTGCATGACATGAGCAAGTACTATTTAACCATGCACATTTTTTCCTGTATGGGCATACTACTATACATTTTTTGGGGGAAAGGCTATAGTTTCTTAAAAACATTTATGCTGGAGAAGATCAAGAGCCACTGATAAAAATATCCAAATACAAATCATCAGGAGTCATCAGAGATAACTGATACTTTTGAATAGCGTTTGTTTAAATGGTAACAAAACATAGATTTCTAAGTGAATAAAAAACTACCAGTGTTCTGAAATTCCTTGCATCTAAATTGACACAGTGCTTTTAATGTTGCCCATACTTTTACTATCTCAAATTTTAAAAACCAGTTGTACGTTAGTCAGTCATGTTTACAGTGCGTTCTTTGGTTTGCACCTGTGTATCAATACTGAATGTTGAGTGGAGTTTTTATGACACAAGAAAGTAGGAGATCCCTTAACCTATACAATAATGTAGTAGCAACATGTTTAATCACCTGTTTATCTCTGAACAAATTGTTCATTTGTAGGACTGGGTTAGCATGGATGTTAGCTTGATGCTAGTTGGGAAAGGATTCTGATGTAGAGCCTAGTGATAAGCCTTAGAGCCTGCTTTAAACTGGTTTCAAAAGCAGTCGTGATATCTTAAATCTAGTTACTCAAGTCAGATTAGACTTTAGTAAAATCAAGGTGATTCCAAAGCCAATGACAAAAGTGTGCACTAGAGGGCACTGTGAGCATTTATTTTGGTTATGGTCTGGCTTGGTTCCTTGTGTTTCCTTCATTGCTCTTCAGCTCATATGGAGTAAGTTGGTGTGAAAGATCCGTTCAGTTAGCTGCTGACTAGCCAGGTGAAACAGCTGGTGGGTCCACGAGCGATGCGTAATTAATCTTAGGAAAATTACAGTTCAAGATATTTCCTTTTCCAGTATCTAATGTCATCAATTATAAAACTGTTTTTTAAGGAGTGGACAGTTTATAAGCAAGCAATTATTGCTGTAGTGAAAGCTAGATGGACAGGTTGTGTGCTTCACCATGACTCACACTCAATTGGGATAAGTAAATGTGTTCTAGAAGATGCTTTTCCTTGATGAGAGCCTTCACGCTAAGCTGTCTTTAGCACATTATACTTGGTATTAATGTCAGGTGGTCACTGTCATTGACACAGGGCAGGAGTAGCTCTAAACGCTGTTTTCAGTTCTTTCCTATCAGCTGTCGGAAACCTTGGCATTGAGTAGTGAAACCTTTTCAAGGATATTTTAAAAGACCAATCTTCAATAAGATGTATTTCCAAATGTTGTTTAAGAATATAAATATTAATGTATTGTGTACTAATGACCAGCATTATTATTTAATGGTTTGGGGATAGTCTTTGCAAACCTGGAGCATCCAGACTTAACATTTTAAATACAAAATCACAGTAAACAGTGCTGGGGTTTCTTGCTAGTCTTCTTTTAAGCTTGCCTCTCTATCCACCAGCTATATCTTACTTATTTCTTGTGGTCTATGAGCCTTGTTCACTTTTATGCTGCCACAACAGTTGGGTTCAGGGAACTGTGTTTTTATCCATACTGCTATCCAAAGACCATGTCTTTAATTGAAAGTTCTTTTTGTCATCTTTTGAGTATGATAACAAGACAACTGAAATAACGACTTTTCCATATCTGTGTAACAAGCAAATTATTTTCCAGGTGTCTCGATAGATATAGGTACTTAAAACAAAATTACTTGACACCATTTTCTTACGTGAATTAAAGGTCTGGATCCTAAAAGCAAATACAGCCTTCCATAATATTTATGATATCCTATTCATGGCCTTTTTACCATGAAAGTTCTGAAGGAAATGGTTTTATGTATGTAGATGTAAAACTTTCCTGGAAACTGTGCACATGATTCTACCTAGCCTTATTTCCTTTATTCATTTTCAGTGGAAATAGCTGTTTCATGCTTTGTTTATATGTCATTGTTAAATAACTACATGGTTATGTCTGTTTGGGAGGGTGTTTGATTGCTTTTGTCCTAATTAATATTCTTGAGAAAGCATAACTTTTGTTTAGTAAGCTCTTAGGTGATAGTGATGTCACTGGCCTGCGGACCACCTTTGGAGAACCACTGTTCTGATGGAGCCTGGAGTTACTCAACCTTGGAATTCTGTCCTTTTAGTTTATCTGCTGTCAACCTAAGACCAAAGGGGTTAGGATGTTTTCTCTAGAAAGGGCCAAAAGGACAATTGTTTAGGCTCTGTGTGCCATTCTTGCTCTGTAGCACCTTCTCATCATCAACTGCTATAGCGTGAAAGCAGCTAGAGATGATACCTACACAGATGGGTGTGACCATGTTCTAATAAAACTAACTAAAACAGGCTGGTTGGCCAGATTTGGTCCTTGGCTGTAGTTTTCCACCAATTAACATATCAGATGTGTCTCATCCTTAAAGAGGAAGCTTGAATTGTTCCTCTAGTAAGCATCTTTACTTATCTCAGGTTTTTATTATCTCAGCTACAAAAGTGCCAAAGCTTTTGGTAGCCAATGTGTTTGTCCCATGGTTTTCTTATTTGAAATGTACAGGGTCTCTTCTTTTTTTCCACTATGTTACAAGTCAGTAATGGGCCTATGAAATAATGTTATATACAATCATATGTTTAATGATGTCATAATATGTTGGAAACTAAAATTAGAAATTAATTTCTGAAAGCATGATTGGCTCACACAGTTTTACCCCAGATCCTTCTTTTTTTTTTTTTTTTTTTTGAGTTGGAGTCTCACTCTGTCACCCAGACTGGAGTACAGTGGCCGCTCCTGGCCACCGCAGCCTCGATCTGCTGGGCTCCGGCGATCCTTCCGCCTCAGCCTTCCAAGTAGCTGGACCTACAGGCGCGCTCTACCACACCCAGCTCATTTTGATTTATTGTAGAGAGGAGGTCTCTCCAAGTTGCCCAGGCAGGTCTCGAACCCGCGGGCTCAGGCAGTCCACTCACCTCAGCCTCCCAAAGGCACGGGATTACAGGCTGAGCCACCAAGCCTGGCACCAGATCCTTCTAAATAAGCAAAAGCTGTAGACAGAATTCAGCTTACTCATCTTTTAAAATTTTAGTTTACCAGGTGATTTCCATTATTTGGGAAGTAATAGAGCAGGATTTCTCAACCTAGGCATAGTTGACATTCTGGGCCAGATAATTCTTTGTTATGGGAGGCTGTCCTCCTATTTTAAGATGTTTAGTAGCATCTCTGGCCTTTACTCACTAGATGCTAGTAGTACCCCTCTAACTGTAACAGTCAAGAATGTCTCCAATCAGTATGAAATGCCCCCTGCTGGGTAAAATCACCCATGTTGGAGAATCACTGCAATAGAGAATTTAAGCAAAGGAAAGGTGGTTGATTTCTGTTTTAGACCCTGACTGTGGCTTGCAAACCTAAACATCAGGACTGTTCTCTATTCTTCTTTCTATTAAAATTTTAAAAAGACTAAAAATTCCTTATCTCTTAGAGCAGGCCCTACTATCTGTATTAATAGGGGTTTCTATGTGAATTTCTAGGGAGCTATATTGTATGTAAGTATAAGATTCTGAATTTTTCACTTATCAGTGATTTGCCATTCTCCTCTTTTTAAAAATTGTTTCTTGGTTTTCTTTTTTCTTGCTTGGTTTCACTTTAAAATTTTTATTTTATACGCTACTTCATTTTTCCTTAGTAGGCAGGACATTGTTCTGACACATTCATTTTCCAACTATCATTTAAAGCTCTGATTTGGAAAGATCTTCTTTTATAGCTCGACCTTGAAAAATTATCCAGTTCAGTGTTTAATTATTGCTCTTTTGAAGAACAGGTATCAGAGTGGGTCATCGCTCCTTAATGAGATACTACAAACAGCGGTTTGGCTTGTCAAGAGCTGTGACAGTTGCTAAAAATCGGAAGGCTGTGGGCCGGGTACTTCAGCAGTACAGAGCCCTGGGATGGACTGGCAGTACAGGTACATTGGTGCTTACAACTGTGGACAAGTTTAAGAACTTGTATTTTTAGAAGAGTTTTGGGGGAAGTTGTTTCCGTTCATGTTGTCTTTATGGATCCTCTCTTGGGGAAACTTAACCTCTTGGCTCCAGGAGCTTCCATTACCACTTGATACGGTTATAGCAATAAGCCCAAAACTCCGTGACTTCAAATTTCATACTCTAGGCAGAGCAACTTTATAGTATATCAATAACTTTTCCAGAAGATAATAGTTACAAAAAATTATTTGGTAATCATTAAAGGTTAAAATTATCCTGGAAGCTACACAGAGGAATTAAGTAATATTCTAGCGGTTAATAGCTTGATCTGTGAAGTCAAGCGTGACTTATGTTGTATACTCATAGGTTTTTATACAATAAGCAGGAATAATTTAAGCTTCTATTTTCTCCTCTATACAGTGGAGATGATAATAATAGGACCCACCTGTTAGAGTTGAGTGGGTTGAATATCATAATGCCTGTGTGATAAAGTGCATGCACATAGTAGAGGTTATCTGTCTTTTCTGTAATTTTCCCATAGAAAATTTAGTACAAGTCAGAAGAGTAAAGAGGCCACTGAAACTGTGAAGCTTTGAAACCTCATCAATATGATATTTAAATCTATACTAGTGTTTCTGCTATGTGAAGCTAGTTATCCATAGGTCTCTGGGGAAAACATTCATCCACCCAGAGAGCTGTAGAGAGGACAAGAGGAGAGATGCCTCCCACTTTGATGGCTTGGAATGCTCCGGGCAACTAAATCCATTTTAAATGCCACTGTGTTTATATGTGGCTTCCTTTACTATGGCTTCTTGTGAGCTATGTGGCCACTTGAACCTGGCAGGGACTGACTTCATTTTACTCTCATTAAGAATTATTGTCTGACTTGACATATAGTTTCTCTGTCACCTTAGGTGAGTAGGGCTTCACCTTCTGTGCTCTTCCAGTTGATGAAAACTAAAGGTGCTCATCCCAGGGAAATGCATAGTATAAAAGTTTCTGGTATGCAATTCTGAGGAGCACAGGGAACCCTGAGGCCTATTTCTTAAAGAACCACAAGTTATCAACTCTTTGTAAAATATAAGAGCCCTGTTACCCCAAGCCATCTTCTGAATTCTTTGCTAAAATTGGGTATTCTCTGATCACAAGTTACAGCCTTTTGCCTCCTTTCTTAACCTCCTTTCCTCACAGGAGCAGCTCTTATGAGAGAGCGAGACATGCAGTATGTCCAAAGGATGAAATCGAAGTGGATGCTGAAGACAGGCATGAAGAACAATGCCACCAAACAGATGCACTTCAGGGTCCAAGTGAGATTCTGAGAGTCTGTTGTGATGGAACGATCTCTTTCCTGTACAAGTTTCTTCCCAATAAAAGGCAGATTATGTGATAGACCCTTTTGCTGCTGACCTAATAATAAAAGTCAGAAGCATACTGGTTTTCAGGTGTCATTTTTGAACAGTGTTTAAAGGTTGTTTTTTCACAAAGTAAGTGGTTTGTCTACGACCCTGGGACTTGCACTGCTGCTCGGCAGTCCAGGTAAAAGCTGTGTTGCCAACATTCATTTAAAGTCTTAGCTTTTAAATGACTTGTGGCTGTCAGGATAAGTGGAAAACTCAGGAATGGCTTGTTTTCTCCAAACTTTGTTTAGCTTTCAGAATAATTCACCATGTCATGACACTGGGACCTATGAAAGGGGGCTTTGAACCTTATGTAGGGGCAGAGTTGAATGTCACTCATTGAATGTATTGTGGCTCAGGAGGTGGTGAATCCCGCTGGGCACTGTCATTAAATCCAGGCAAAGTCAAAGAGTGTGTCGGTGACTTGTGGTAAAGGTTTTTTATTTCTTTTTTTTTTTGAGTTAGAGTCTCACTCTGTCGCCCAGACTGGAGTGCAGTGGCCGCTCCCAGCCACTGCAGCCCCGACCTGCTGGGCTCCAGCGATCCTTCCGCCTCAGCCTTCCAGGTAGCTGGAATTACAGGTGCGCACTACCACGCTCGGCTAATTTTTTTTTTGATTTATTGTAGAGATGAGGTCTCACTAAGTTGCCCAGGCGGGTCTCGAACCCACGGGCTCAGGCAATCCACTCACCTCAGCCTCCCATGGTGCGGGATTACAGGCTGAGCCACCGAGCCCGGCTGGTTTTCTATTTCTAAATAGGAGCACATGAACCATAAAGGCAGTGCTCAGATGCGGTGTTCAGTGCTGCAGTTAGTTTAGGAGGAAAATAAAGGTAAAATGTCTAGATATCATCTTAGCAAGAAAGATTACTTCAGGGTTATTATATCTCTGAAGAGTTTCAGTTTAGGTAGCTTAGGGGAAGGAAATATATTGGAAATGAGTCTAGATATGAAGTTCAAATCCATTGAGTTACCTTTGTGACTTTGGAAAGGAAACTCTTTTAGTCTGTAAAATGGAGTTGTTTATTATTTCTTGGGTTGTTGTGGGAGTTAAATAAACCTGTCAAGTGAGGTATCACTCGTTGAGTCCCTAGCACAAAGTCATGGTGCTTAAAATTCTCCTTTATGGGGCAAACAGATGCCACTCTGGGTTAGACTGATGTTCTGGTCAGTGCAGTATTCTGAGTAGTGGGTTCAAGGATGCCAGGAGAATGTGGTAGTTCTCAACACGCGCTCACCAGATCTTGTTTGCTAGAGATAGATCTTTTTCTTTAAATTTTGGGTATAGAGTTGAATTGCCATTCCTCAATACACAGTCTCACTATTATCTGACAATGGAGGGATCCCTGGTTTTAATTTTAGATCCTTCATTCTGTTTTCTGACATTCGCCCCACACACATACCCACTCTTTTGTGTTTGATATATCGTTTAAATCTGTATACCGGGAAAATGGCATGCTTTGCATGGGACATGTTTTTAATGTATACTTAATTGAATGTACATGATATTGTGCTATGGCTCTTCTCAGTTTCATTTTTTTATTCAACATTTTTTCACTCACTATCTAGCAGCGTCTAGTTCATTGCTTTTGACCGCTACCTGGTATTTCCTAGTGTGTGTACAACACGTACTTATCTCTTTGCTTTGTGCTGACACTTTGGTTGTGTCCAACTTCATGTGACCACACCAGCCAGCACTGTTAGTGTGTATCTCATTTATATACATAAGTGTATACAGATTATGCATTGGTGTTGTCTTTTTTTATCTTTGGTGGAATGGAAGGCAGTGAGGACTGTATGTTTACTGACCTGTAAAATACGACTACTACTTCCATTTACTTTATTATCTACTTCTGGGGTTTGGGAGATGCTTTAGTTCTAATGTGGGGTTTCAATCCATTGTCTCACTTTTATTCACATTATAATTTTATACCATTTATTTGCCTTTCTGGGGTAGACTTCTATTTACAGGGAGAAGGCAAAGAGAAAATATTTAAACCCCACTTCCTTATAGTTAAGTGAGCAAGACAAGAACAATGACAAATAGAGCTGTTATTTTGGAGAAAATCTTCGTGGTATAGGAAAGCGTGGGAATGTCTTTGATATTTTATCTGCTTGTCTTTCCTTTGGCATGCATTTATTTTTCTTTAGGTACATTCTGTTCCCTGTTCTGTCTTCTGGAGTAGAATTACTTGGGCCTCCTTGTCCATTCCCAAATTGCTATTTACTATCAGTTCTCCCTGTTTTGGTCTTTTCACAGTGACTTGTCTCCTGGTATCCTAAGTCTATCACACTGGAGATGTGAACACACGCATGTGGGCAGAACCTGCCAAACAAAGTGGCAAGCATAAAGCCTGAATCACACTTCTGTCCTGACATTTACCTACTTGAGATAGAGTGTTGATAATAGTGCTTTTCTTTCTCTCTTCAGATTTTTATTCCCCATATTTACTTTTTGTTAAAAGAGCTAATCCAGCACCTCTTGTTTCCCCCAACACCTCTTGTCTCTAAGACAATTGTCTAAACTTTGTTGGATACCAGAGTCATCATGTTAAAGATGCTTAAGTACCTTTTTGAGACAGAGTCTCACTCTGACTCCCAGGCAGCACTCTCTGCTATAGCTGGCTAACGGTGACTTGTGTCACTCCTCCTGGTAGACATCCCAGCACCAGATGGCCCTGGCAGGTTGGTTTGTCTGTAGCTCGAGACATCAAGACATGGGATCAAAAGTGAGGACGTAATCTTGTCATTCTCCAAGCAGGTTACAGAAACCCGTGGTGGCTCTGCTGCCTGTTTACAGACTAGACACTTTGTTGATGTAGTATTTCTTCTGCTTTGCATAGTGAGAATTTGTGTTTTTCTGAGTATAAAGTGCCATGCTATGATTTTCTAATGTGGAGTGTATGTAGTATTCTTACTTTACACATAAGGAAAGAGACTCAGGAGGTTCTTAACTCCCTTAAGGATACAAAAGGGAGGCAGGGAAGATGATTTTTTTGTCTAGTGATTTTAGTATTGCAATACACTTGTGTGCTGTATTCAGCATCATCCCAACCTAAGGAGCACACTCAGGGAGAAGATAGAGCTATAAAAATTTACTCGGGGCCAGCACTTTGAGAGACCAAGGCAGATGGATCTCTTGAGCCCGAGTTCGCAACTGGCCTGGCCAACATAGTGATACCTCATCTCTACAAAAAAGTACAAAATTTAGCTCGGTGTGATGGTGTGTGCCTATAGTCCCAGCTCCTCTGGAGGCTGAGGTGGAAGGATAGCTTGAGCCCAGGAGGTGGAGGCTGTAGTGAGCTGAGATTGTGTCTCTGCACTCCAGCCTGGGGACACAGAGTAAGAGACCCTGTCTTAAAAAAAGTGGGTTTTTTTTTTTAACACAAGTTTATTAAATTTTGCAGCAACTGTGCAAGTAATCTCATTCTAATTCTGGAAATACAATCTAAATTTACATTAGTACATTAAAGAAAATCACACCTTTATTCCCTCCTAGAATGTGAGAAAATTTTGCCCCCAACCACTTTTGGTTATTTGTGGATTCTTAATTGTTAAGCTATTTTCCTTCACATTGAGTATTATTTCTAAACTCTGTTAAGAACTCATTGGAGGGCAACCCCTTTGGGTCCCCTCCCCCTGTGGGAGCTTTTCTGTCCTCCCAGTAGATCCTGCTTTCTAAAAAAAAAAAAAGATTTCATTGGACATTATTAATTAGACTTGATAATAATTCATATGTAAGAATCCAGCTAAGAGTTGTGTTGCCAACATTCAATGTGCAGACGCTTTTGCAAGAGAATTGCTGGCAGTCCTAGAGAAATTCCTAAATGCCTTGAAAAATACATGCCATGTAATACAGACTCACTTGCATTTGGCACATTCATTATTTATGACACTGAAATTGAAGGAGATTAAGAAGATTAGATTAGCTTGTTAATGCTGCAAACATTTGAATATTAGAATATTAATTTATTGATCATTTGTGGGGCAAACTGTTGTTCTCCCTAGTCTATTCCTCTCCTTCCAATACACATGGCTTCCCAGCCAGAGATTATTTCCCAGCCTCCTCTCCTGCAAGGTGTGGTCACCTGACTAAATTTGGGCCAGTGTTGTACACAGAGGTAATGAATGCCACTGAACTACAGATCTTCTCCAATTCTGAAAACTGCTTTTTTTTAAAAAATTTTATTATAAAATTTTGTTTAAATTTTGTTATAAAGATGTGGGGTACAAGTCAGGACTAGGTCCATAAGTAATGTATATGCAGGTGATGTTGGAGCCTCACTTCCCCTGGTTTAGAATCAGGTACCCTTTATGTTGTTACGTGCCTCCCCCACCCAAGCTGCTTTTCTAGACTCATCCTCTTTTTCCTCTCAAGCTGAAGGTGAGGTATGCCAGTTTTATTCATGCAGATAAGGACAATATTTTATTTTATTTTATTTATTTATTTTTTTGAGTTGGAGTCTCACTCTGTCGCCCAGACTGGAGTGCAGTGGCCGCTCCCGGCCACCACAGCCTCGACCTGCTGGGCTCCGGTGATCCCTCTGCCTCAGCCTTCCAAGCAGCTGGAACTACAGGCGTGCGCTACTATGCCCGGCTAATTTTTTTGATTTATTGTAGAGATGAGGTCTCTCCAAGTTGCCCAGGCGGGTCTCGAACCCGCGGGCTCAGGCAATTCACTCACCTCGGCCTCCCAAAGCGTGGGATTACAGGCTGAGGCCAGGACAAATTTTAAGGGGTGACAGAGCAACAACAGGGAAGGAACCTGGGTGGCTAAACATCAGGGAGTAGAGCTGCCTTGCCTGCTTGAGTGGACTGGACTGAGGTGAAATAAATTGAAGCCACTGTTGTGGTGTTTCAGTACAGCAGTCTGGTGTATGCTCTTAATAGAGTGCAATCTCGTGATTAATGAGAATAATGTTTAATATGTTTAAGGTGGAATTGACAATTACGTTTCCTATCTTCTCCTTCACCCCTGTTCTCAAATAGGTGGGCTAAATTCTTATGCAGGGTTGGGTTTGATCTCATGATCAC